CCTGAGGTGTGAGGAGGTGGGAGGAAAGGTGTTCATCTATGTTCTTCATGGGGACTCCTAAGGACGCTGAGTTCTGGGGATCCCCTGGCTTCAAGGGTCCTGAGTCTCCTTCTTGGAACAATCTTTAATTCACCCAATCAAATGGGTGGTGGTGCAGGGTGGGGCTCAGGAGCATAATTAGTCCATTGAAAAGAAAGTGAAATAAAGTAACATGTTACAGTCTTAACATTAGGTATAGGCAATGGGCCTTTATTTATTTACTAGAGGCCCATTGTACGATATTCATGCAAGAATAGGCCTTCCTTCCCCTGGCTTCACCCCCAACCACCCGGGAGCCAGCACGTCCCCATTCCTACTGGCCAACAGGAGCCAGAAAGTCCTCACTTCTGTCTAGAGCACCACTACAATAGCTCCCTCTGCTGCCCCCCACCCCTTCATAACAGGCTTCACACCACTCCTCACCTGTATATGCAAATTAATCTCCATCTTTGTTGGGTTAATTTGCATACTCACTCTGATTGGCTATGAGCGTAGCAGAATGATGGTTAATTTGCATGTTTCTCTTTAATTAGGTAAGATTTCGGGATAGAACTTACTGTTGGGCTATGGCATCTGATGATCTCATTTGCATAGAAACCCTCTCACCAAAGATTATTTCCACCTACAATTATGATGGATCAGGTGATATGTTGAGTTGCTGCCCTTTTCAAAGTTAAAATTCCACTGACAAAGTTAAACAGGAGAGGAGGACTTTATTCCAGACTATTTCAATAGAATAGAGAGAAGAGCTGGGGTGGGGGGAATAGCAGGACATCTGTGCTTGCTAGTTGGCCTTCACAATTGGAGTAAGGAACCCACCAAAGTCAGGCATGTACTCTTCTACACAGACTGAAAGGAAGGGGTGTTGTTGCCTTCAATGTTTTCATTTCAAAAAGATGGTTCTCAGGTCCCTGGGGAAATAAATTTTCTGGGTTGCAAAACTAGCAAGAAACTGGGAGAAGATTTGTATATACACTGAGTGACCAGATTATTATGATCTCTGAATGCACAATAGTCTGGCCACTCAATATATATATTCATGCTCAGGCCTGGTGCATGAATTCCTGCATGGATGAGGCCTGGCCAGCCTGGCCAGGGGGAGGGGACTTGAGCGGTTGGCCAGCCTGCCTGCTGGTCGAACTCCTGGTCAAGGGGACAATTTGCATATTAGCCTTTTATTATATAGGATATACACTGAGTGGCCAGATTATTATGCATTCAGAGATCATAATAATCTGGCCACTCAGTGTATTTCAAAAGGACAGAATAACTACAAGTTATTACTTAATTGCAATTTTTTAAAATATATATATTTTATTGATTTTGTACAAAGAGGAAGGGAGAGAGATAGAGAGTTAGAAACATCGATGGGAGAGAGTCATCACTCAGCTGCCTCTTGCACACCCCCTATTGGGGATATGCCCACAACCAAGGTACATGCCCTTGACTGGAATCGAACCCAGGTCCCTTCAGTCCCCAAGCCGACGCTCTATCCATTGAGCCAAACCGGTTTCGGCTTAATTGCAATTTTCTAAAGTAAATGCTCTAAATAAAGAAAGGTCAGGGCCATTGTCAGGGAAAAAAACCTGTCTAAAGTTTAGTCATGGTGAAGAGAATGTTAAGGCTGTCTTGCTCATAAATGAATTACTTCTGATTGAGGAGAACCCTTAACCTAATGATATACAAACTTGGACATCTGAAGTCCCTGTACAGGTACCTTCTACTGAATAGCCCATTGAAATGAACTCATAAATGCTTCCTTTTAATGCCTTTAACTAAGAGTGTTTTCAATGATTAAGTCAACAAACACTTATGGAGTATCTATTCTGTGCCAGGCGCCATTTCAGGTATGAATAAGGTGGAAACTTCTTCTAAAAGAGACCTCACAGAAGTAAAGGAGGTAGAGGAGTAAATGAACATTTAACATATAATGTGAAAGTTCCTCAAAAAAGTTAAACATGACCCAACAATTCCATTCTTAGGTATCTACCCAACAGAAAGGAGAACATCTGTCTACACAAAAACTTCCTCAAGAATGTTCAGAACAGCATTATTCATAATACCAAATGGTAGAAACAGCCCAGATGTTCTTTAACTGGTGAATGGATAAATATGGTCTATCTCCACAGTAGACTATTACTCAGCAGTAAGAAGGAATGAGGTATTGATACACACTATAAAATGGAGGAACCCCTGAACAGTGTTATGAAAGAAGCCAGTCACAGCAGGTCACGTGTTGTATGATTCCATTTAGATGGTGTGTCTAGAAAAGGCAAATCCATAGAGACAGAAATCGGTGGTAATCTAGGGCTTTGGGGATTGAGGGGGCAGGGGGAGTGACTGCTAATGGGTTTGAAGTTTCTTTTGGTGGTGATGAAAGAGCTTCAAAATTGACGGGTGATGGTTTGATATAGTCACAAAATTATGGTTATGGGAAAATGAAAAGAGCCCTGGAGTTGACCTCAGAAGAGCTGGTTTGAATCCTAAAGTTTTGTAGGCTTGATTTTTCCAATGACATGTCCTTTGAGCTTTCAGCTTTCTCTTCTTTCTGTTTTCTCCACCTCACTGAATGATCTCACACCCATCTACCCGGTCACCAAACTAGAAACTCGGGAGCCACCTGAAATGCACACCTCCAAACCTCTCACTGCCCCTAGATCAGTGTTTCCCAAACTTTTGACATATGTGTACCCCTTCCATAATTTTCGTAACACTGAGTACCCCTCGTACTCATGAGAACGTAGAATTAGGCGCAGCTAAGCACGGTGCAGTGCATATCCCCACCAAACTCCAGTGCAACGTGTACCCCCACCAAACTCTTCCCGTACCCCTGGGGGTACACGTACCACACTTTGGGAAACACTGCTAGATGATCAGTCGTCAAGTCCTACTAATCATATTTCTTCAACCTTTTTAAACGCTCTTTCCTCTCCATTCCCGCTTTCTCCTGCCTTTTGCCAATTTCATCTCTCACTTGTACTATTGCAAAAGCCTCCTCTCAGTCTCACCACTTGAGTCTAATCTCTCTCATTCTCCAGATGGCTGGGAGGTGGTGTTTATAAAAGAAACTTTATGTCGCTTCCTTGCTCAGAATCATTCAATGGTCATTACTGTCATAAGAGCAAACATGTATACAAAGCTAAGAATTTCGGATGCATTAACTGGAAGGCTCACATCAATCCATTGAGAGAGGAAGGAATGGAGCAGAGAGGGGTAAAATGACTTGCTCAAGGCCAAGCAGCTGCTTAAAGTCTAAAGCTAGGATTGAACCCAGGGAACCTGGCCCCGGGTCTGTGCTTATAGTCACAACGCACTGCCTCACAAAGCGGGAGGCCAAACTCCTCTCTGTGACCCAGGCCCGCCTGCCTCCAGCCCCTCTGTGGCGCCTGAGCCCTGGCATACTGCACTGCCTGCAGGTCCTGAGAGCGGCCTCGCTCCTCTGTGATTGAAATAAATGGAACTAAAAAAGGCAGCGAGAGGAATTAGGGCATCAAGGATGTCACAGGTATTTGTACCCCTTTTCACCCAGGAGTCCCGTCAGTATCACTCTGTCCTGTGGCCCATCCCTCTCCCAGGGACATCTAGTCAATCTGACAAATAAGTCCTTGTCGTGTCCTCAGGCACATCGCCCCTCCTGGGTGGACCATGCAGAGCCCACCCCATAGGTGGGTCAGCCCTGTGGACGGGGAGCCCTGCGTATGCTGCCAGCCCCGAGGGGCTTGGACAGGTGTCTGTGGCACTTTCCTCCACTGGAAACCAACCCATTTATTTTGTTTACTCTGCCAGTTACTGGTATTTTCCTGCCGTTCACATTCTTTTCCTGGCCAATGGTCTAAGTACACAGGGACGTTACCATGCAAGCCTGATGCAAGGGGAGTTTTGGGTGGGTGTGTCGGCTGTGTCCTAGTCAAGTGGTGAGCACCATTAGGGGAATTCTAAACAAGGCCAAAAGCAACCCTTTAGCTGGTAAAAAAAAAAAGAACTGAGGATGGCTCATAACAGATGACATCGCCAAAGGACTGTGCTCCCGTGGCCCCGCAGAGTGAGGTGACCAGACGTCCCACTCTTGGTGGGACAGTTCCCATTTTTAACAATTTGTCCCGTGTCCCACGGCATTTTAAAAAAGTCCAAAAGATTTAAAAGAATCTTTCCAAAAATCGGGACTCTTTTTAAACGCCGCGGGACACGGGACAAATTGTTAAAAATGGGAACTGTCCCGCCAAGAGTGGGACGTCTGGTCACCTTACCATAGAGCTCTGATTCCACTGGCATCCCAGTGCTGGAGCTCATCTCCTCCCCTGCGTGGGCTTTGTCTTCCTCTCCTTCCACGGAGGTATGCCCAGTAGGGGTGGGGGTGGGGGTTCTCTGTCCACGTGGTGACTCTCCCTCTACAGAGGAAGGCTGACTGCCTCTCTGCCTTAATGTCTTGAAAGGCTATGGGACTGAAGCTCCCTGCTTTGCTTGACAGTGAGCATCAGCTGGGGTGTCAAAGTGAGGGGTACTCTGAAGACCATCAGGATGGTCCACCTGTTCATGCAAATGTCACTCTGATGGGCGTCTCCCTGCCTTCCTGGTCCCTCTTTGCTTGACTTCTGAGTGGAAGTCCCCCTGGGTCCCCCCTTTGTCCCTCCCACAGGCTGCAGTCCCCACCTCCCCTGCAGCAGATGCAGGAGCACTTTAAACTTGCCCTTGGTCTCTGGAATCCTGACTCTGAGGCTGGGCATTCCAACAGCAACTCCTTGGGCGCGGATCTTGGAAAGGCCACTTCAAAACTGTCTCAGCTCAGGCCCCAAGGACAAGCTCCGCTTCTGTGAGGTTTGCAAGGTGCCAAAAACATCTCCGGTGCTCAGGCTGGAGCAGCCAATGGAAGCCATGACCCAGACCCCTCCCACTGCCTCCTCAGTGGCATCGCAGCCTCCGGAGTCTCTCCTCCCTCTCCCCGCAGGTCTGACACTGAAGTGAGGACCAGAGGTCTTGGTCTGCAGAACTCTCTCCACCTGCCCTGTGGTTCCGGACGGAGCCTCATCCTCTCCAGAGATGGCCTGGAGACAGCTGCTCCTTGTCACCTGTTTCTCGGCCGCGATGCTCCTGTGCAGTGAGTAAGGGGGGGAGGCTCTCGGATGGACTTGGGTTGGGGGAGGCTGGCAGGTGGCTGGCCCAGAGAGAGGCAGGTGTTTATCTGTAAGATGTGTGTGTGTGTGTGTGTGTGTGTGTGTGTGTGTGTAACACACCACAGCACAGAGAAAACCGTTTGCTTGGTGGTGTCTTGAGACTGGTGTGTGTGTGTGACCCAGGACCCCCCATGGGGCCTGGCAACCACTGTCCTGGGAAGGGCTGGCCTTGCCTGGTGGGGGTGAGGGTCCCTCTGGTGTGCTGCTGCCCTCACTCTGTGCTTGTGCCCACAGTGATGCAGGAGGGGACCGGCGCATCCGTGGGCACCGGGCAGGGGCCTGGACAAGAGGCCCGGAAAGGTGAGTGCAGGGGCCGCCCAGGGGTGCAGGGCGGCGGCCAGCCCCTGCGGTTGCCCTGGTGAGCCATGCGGGTTGTGACTGGCCTCCTCTGGGTTCCAGGTGTGAAACAGAAGGTTTTCGTGCAGGAATCAGACGCCTCGAATTTCCTCAAGAAGCGTGGCAAGCGGTCCCCCAAGTCCCGAGAGGAGGTCACTGGTAAGGATGCTGACTACCTGCCTTCTGCCGGCCCCTCTGGCTCCTTCTCGCTCCCGGTCAGCTGGGCTGTGGGGACCAGCTCCACGGGCATCACAGGCCTGCAGCTCTTAGTTAGACCCCACGTCTCCTGGATCGCAGGTCACATCTGTTTCGACCGACTGTTGTCAGGTGCGAAACAAAAGGATGTTGAGATACATCCCAATTCCAGAAAGTTAGAAACACACAAGGGAAAATCTGTGTTCGAATTGGGACAGACATACTATCTCAGTGTGTGCTTTTCGGGGTACTGAAAAGTGAGCCCCTATATGCAAGAGCAATAGTGAGCAGGGAGAGGGCACATGGCACTCCAAGCCAGGATTGTGGGTTTGGTGACAGCTTTACTGCTAAGTGGCCTTGGCCACTTCCTCTCCCGGGGCGCAAGTTTCCTTGTTTACAAGCCCCTGAAAGTGTGGTGTTCAGCCAGGAGTGGGGTTTTTTGTTTGTTTGTTTGTTTTTTTAGTTTTAATTTCCAATGCATTTGGGAGGCTTTTGAGCTCAGAGGCATGTCTCCTTTCAGCCTGAAGTAGCCCCTGGTAACCCATGCCGAGCAGGGACCCTCATTTCCATGCCCCGTCGACCCCCAAAGGCATTTGCGTTTTCTGCCCTTGAACTAGATTCTTCCAAGGGCTGTGGGTGCTGACTGTCTCCCAGGCTGCGGCTGGATTCATTGCTTGAGTGTGTGTCTGAATAAACTCTTTGTGTCGCTCAGCAAAGTAACTTGCTCCATAAAAATAACAGGAGTGTTTTCAAATGATGGGGAAGAGGAGAGTGGAAAATGCTGGGAGATAAAATTCCTTTTTTTAAAAAGAAAACCTGGATAAATATTAACCAAACCGGGAAAATTTCCAGGCCTCATACAAGTTGAGATTTAAAAGCTTGCAAATGTCAAGAAACACTGAAAAGACTGGTAGAGACTGGGCAGTTCTTGATAGAAATCAGAGAAGCAACCGCTGGCTGACTCCCAGTGGGGAGCAGGTGTGAATTTTAGGGCAAATAGTTTCCATCCTTGGAAGCTGAGCAGAACAATGAGGCTCAAGGCTAAGCTAGAGGTTCCTCACCTCAAACAGAAGCTCAGGGTGTTGGTGGTGGGGAGCCCAGGGTGGCCGGGAGAATGCTAGGGTGCATCTGAGTTCATATCTTGTCCCCTTGTCAATTTCAGTGGGTGAACAGGAGATCCGAGCCCAACTCTGTCTCGGGTTGGGTAAAAGGCAAGTGATAAACTTGAACTGGGAACAAGGGGACAGGCATCTTACACCTCTAACGATGCAGGTCACTTTAGGGTGAAAGGAGGAACTAATCCGATAAAATGCATGTTTTTGAGAAGAGATGTACACAACGCCCAGTGTAAAAACAGCATCTTGTCCCAAGAATTAGTTTTTATTTATTGTAAGTCAAAGGTCCAATGTGGCACCTCCAAAAGAGCCCTTGGGAAGATCGTTGCTTTTCTGGCGTACACAGGGATGGAAAAAGCTTCTTTAGGAAGTGGCCTGGCTCATTAAGCACCTGCTTAGAGTCTAAACCCCTGCCTCCCACCCCACCCCCACCCCCAGCAGCTTTCTGGTAGCTGTAGCATCGTCGGAGCTTGTGTGGGTTGTAAGGTGCCCCTCCCCCCCCCCACTGTGTGCTCTGTCCAAGTGGTGGAGTGTGGGTGCCTGGAGCTCAGGCCCCAGTCCCAGCCCGGCTTGACTAGCTGTGTGGCCTTGATTCAATCACTTCACCTCTCTGAGTGAATTGCCTCCTAAGAAATGTGTGGATGTGAGACAAGAGGTGAGGCATGGGGATGGACTGGAGTACCAATTCCTCTGCCAAAGTGAAGATTCCTGCAATAAGTAAGTAAAGGCACAAGTGTGGGGAAACATGGGACTTACCGAAGGAATCTGCACTGGGACCAACTCAAGTAACTTGATTTTTCATCTGAGTTAAACAGTATAAACCTGATATAAATAACTAGTATTTAATTAATTTACTTATTCTTGTAAGTTCCTTACTTTCAAGAAGGGCTTGAGATGGTTTCCGGTCTTCCCATCACAAAGAAATACTACTTATTTCTCCAGCCCCGCCCGTCCCTCCCTCCCCCCCACCCCCGGCCCCCATGCTGGGGGGTGGGGAGGACAGCGATGGCTTTCTTGCTTCCATCATAAACCCCCCACCTCCTCTTGCACATCCACCTCAGCCTCCCCCTTTGACGGGAGGGATGAGCGTTCTGAGGCAGAGTTCCTCCTGCACCAGACACAGCCTCCGGCTGCCGTGGACGTCCCAGATGAGGCCCAGAAGAAAGAAATGTCCTGAAACCAAGAGCGCTTCAAATCATGGCCACATTCCATTTCCACAGCTCATGCAGATTTGAGAGCAGAAATGGATGAACTTGAAATCTAATTTATTTTAGGTCTAAAACGTAGAGGTTTTATTTTTTGACTAAATTTGAGCAGGTGGGAAACAGCTGCACCTGCTAATGAGGGGGGATGAGGCCGTTCAGGTGGATTCCCTTCGGGCTCAAGGTAGTGCTGGCGAGTTTCATCGTTCAACTGCCAAGGAATGATCACCATCTTCCTGTGCTCTCAGTGACAGTTTTCAGCTTTTACTGGGTGTATTTCTCCCACCCGTAGAAGTGTACTTCCAATTTTGTAACGTGGAACTCGGATTCCTGATAAAAAGGTTCACAGCCAACTCTACTGGAATGCATTGCCTTACAAAATAAGGGATGCCTGCGGTCAGTGTTTCCATCAGGAAGTTTGACTGACCACCCACATCCTGTACTAGTTATCTATTGCTGTATAACCAACAATCCCCAACCTGGCAGCTTGAACAAATTACCTCCACATTTAGCAGCGTAAAACATCTGTTGTCTCACATTTGCTAGGGTCAGACATCTGGGGCTAATGAGCTGGTAGCCTCTGGGTCAGGTTTCTCAGCTGCAGTTATCTGTGAGAAGATTCCTTTTCAAGCTCACTTACCTGGTGTTGGCGAGCCTGAGGTCCTTGCTGTTGATCAGGGACACCAGTGTCTGGCCATGAGTGGGCCTCTTCACAAGACAGCTTACAGCATGGCAGCTGGCTTCTCTGAGTGGAGCAAAACGGAGAAGGAGGCCAACCAACCCAAGACAGAAGCCACAGTCTTGTTTGTAACCTACTCGTATGTGGAAAGTCTATTCCACAACTTTTACCATATTCTGTTCATTAGCAGCGAATCACTAGACCAGTCCTACACAAGGCATGGGAATTAGTACTGCTAGGGGCATGAGTATCAGGATCATCTTACATTTCTATCAGCAGCCATAATGCCCCTTAGTAGAGGGACAGAATCTCTCTCACTTGCCTCCTTAACCCCAGGGTGTATCATACATTCTGACCATGATAGATGCTATAAGATGTTGAATGAATGTGAAGATATTAATGAATGTGAAATGAACTTTAAGTTGGATGACTCCTTCTTATAATTCATTAGTGACCTGTAGTGAGAAATTGCAAGAGACCTGGGACCCCTCCCTGCTTCCCCCCACCCCTAGCACCATGGGACAGCCCCAAGTCCTGGAGTGACACCCTGCGTGGCCAGCGCGCCTTAGGACAGGCCCTGAGTCCTGGAGTGCTGCCCCAATGCCCCGCCCCTAAGGCACACACTGGGGGCCTAGGAAACCCCAGCAGAAGTTATGAGGAGCAGCTGCTGGCTCTGTCCCCACTGCCCTGGCCCTGATGTGCATGTTGCCATCTTGTGATGTGTTATGGCATGAGGGTCAATTTGCATATTACCTCTTTATTATATAGGATTTCTTTCTTTTAAATATATATATATTTTATTTGAGAGAGAGAGAAAGAGAGAGGGAGAGAGAGAGAGAGAGAGAGAGAGAGAAAGAGAGAGAGATAGGGATCTAAAATGAGAAAGAATCAGCTGAAACTAGTTTGGCTCAGTGGATAGAGCATCAGCCTGCAGACTGAGGGGTCCCAGGTTCAATTCCAGTCAAGGATATGTACCTTGGTTGTGGGCACATCCCCAGGGGGGTGAGGGTGGGGAGGAGGAGCATGCAGGAGGCAGCTGATCGATGTTTCTCTCTCATCAATGTTTCTAACTCTCTATCCTTCTCCTTCCTCTCTGTAAAAAAATCAATAAAATATATTAAAATAAATGAATAAAATAAAATGAGAAATAATCATTGATTGGCTGCCTCTTGCATGTCTCCTACTGGGGATCGAGCCTGCAACCCAGGCATGTGCCCTGATCAGAAATCCAATGGTTACCTTCCAACGGTTACCTTCTGTTCATAGGTCGACACTCAACCATTGAGTCACACCGACTGGGCCATCATTAATTTCTGATCACTGGACTTCTAGTTTCTCAGTGGCCTAATATATCTGGATATACCGCTAATTTTATGATTGAAACTAAATTGCTTCATCCTAGTCCTTCAAGTTTGAAGGTCTTTGTCAGGCGTACACCATTTCAATGAAGCCCCCATCCTTAGCCCTCCCAAACAAGCCCCTCCCAACCAGATTACATTTCTCAGGCAAACTATTAGTAATGGGTGTTCCCCTAAATGTGTGCAGATACCCCAACTCTCACCTCTTACCCTTCCACAGCGGAGAACAGGCAGAAGCTGCGGGCTGACGAGCTACGAAGGGAATATCACGAGGAACAACGGAACGAGTTTGAGAACTTTGTGGAGGAGCAAAACGATGGTAAGAGCTCTGCAGCCAGTGCCTCCGGGAAGTGGGGCTTTGCTGGAAAACCACGAGTTGTCTCTACTTCTCCCCACATTCCAGAGGAGAAGGGAAGCTCTGCTTTCATGTCTATGGGGGTCTTGAAAAGAAGGGAGAAGGTCATAAATGGACATAGAACTTGAAAGGGACTGAAAAGGATCGCACCTCGGTTCCCATGGGCTCAGGGACAGTGGGGCTAACTGCCTTTTCTCCTGCGTGGGGATCCCTGGGGTGGGCTGTGCTCTCTGTGTTGGTGAACTTGGCACTGGTAGGGTTGGATTGGGAGGCTTTCAGACTCAGTTTTAAGTCTTAGACTCACATCAATGTAATGGCTTTAGGAACTTCCCATCCTGGGAAACCAAGGCCTCCCTCTACGTATTCACTACGATCAGCATCTTATCTGACAGGTGGAGGTAAACCAGGAAAACTAGGCAAGCACTGGTCACCGGTGCCCTGCATTTACCTTCTCCACCTCCAACCCCAACATCCATAGGTGACATGAAGGCTCCAACACACGCATAACATTGGGCATCGGCATGCTTCCATGTGGTTTGCTTGTGCCCTTACCTCCCTGCTAAGCTGTCATCTTTGCCTCAGTGTCTCGCTAGGCAATCAGTGCCTCTCATTTCTGCCCTCCACCCTTGGGCAGACAGGGCTCCTGCTTCCCCGAGGAAATGCGGCTTTCACCAAGGCCTCAGGGAGGCAGCAGGGGGTGGGTGTGGGTGAGGGAAAAGGGAGGCTCTCTCTTTGAACCACACAGCCTTCCACTAGGTTGTATTTGACCTTGGATCTACTGAGTACCCTAAGTAAAAATCCTTTGGTACATTTATTTATTTTTATTTTTATTTTAAAATATATTTTATTGATTTTTTACACAGAGGAAGGGAGAAGGATAGAGAGTTAGCTACCTCCTGCATGCCTCCCACGGGGGATGTGCCTGCAACCAAGGTACATGCCCTTGACCGGAATTGAACCTGGGACCCTTGAGTCCGCAGGCTGACGCTCTACCCACTGAGCCAAACCAGTCAGGGCTCTTTGGTACATTCAATAGTGATCAGTCCAGCAGGCCCGTGCGTGTGTGCATGTGTGTGCGTGATCCTCTTTGGTCTTTCAAGACTGCAATGTTCGTGAACAAGCTCCGGGCTGCATGTGAGCTCAGACATAGGCCCCATCGAGGTCCCCTTTGTTAGAGAAGGCCAGCAGTTTCCGTTCTTTTTTGAATTAATTAATTAATTAATTTATTTATTAAATCATTATCTGTACAGTTTCCATTCTGATGCTGTCATCTCCTGGCTTGTTTGCACTGGTGGGCCTGAGAGATAACGCCCTCTTAGGGCGCCCGGTAGTGAAGAGGACAGGATCACAGATTCGGAGGGCTGCAGGCCAAGCCCTTTGCCCTGCGGCGGCACTTGGCTGGGCCTGCAGCAGGTGTCGGGCTTGGATCCCCGCAAACCAGTTTTCCGGGAACAACTCGGGCGTCATAACTCAGAGGCCAGCACATCTGTTTACCTTGGAGGACAGCTTGGGGAGAGGCATTTTAAAGTGAGAATGTGGCCTCCAAAATTCCTTCAGCGGTTTTGTTTTTCCCCCTCATAGCATGAATAACAGCATTTTATTTTGTGCCTTTTTAAATGTTTCAAGCCCAAATCCTTGGCATCGGCGTAGAAGAATTCACTGTTTTCCTTTTCATGATGAAATTAGGATGAGTGGGCAGGTGCCTTGGGGATGACAAATCCTCCACTAAAAGCCAGAGCAGACTAAGACCAGGGACCTCAGGCCTAGCCACAAAGATGCAGACACCGCGGGCAGGCACAGGCCGGCCGGCCGGCCGTGCAGCCGCGGTCATTGCTGAGCACCTGCTCCGTCAGGCAGCGGCCGGAACCGCCCAATCCTCCCCACCAGCCTCTGAGGCCTTGCAATCACCATTTTACAGTTTCAAACCTCATCCTGAGATGGGATACATGACTATCCAAGATGGCATTGCTGGTGAGGGGTCTGAACCAAGCCAGCAAACTTTGTGTTGTTGTAAGTGAAGGATAATCAACTGTGTGTAAGGTCTGGAGATATTCGCTGCAGGGACTGGCCGTGAGGATGGAGTGAGGAGGGCAAAGCAGAGGCCCAGAGAGGGTCTCCCCAGAGCGGCATGAAGGAGGCAAACAGGTCGGGCAGGCCCGGCAGGCCTGAGGATACAAGTGCACTTTTCTCCCCTCCCCTGAGTCATGCGCAATGGCCAGGCTGCTGGAAACCTGCACCCAGGCCTGCTGGGAGCCCTTCCCTGAGGCCCCCACGCCCACAGCTCCCCAGCCCCCCGCCCCCACCAGGACTCTGGTTTCAGTTAGCTGTCTTCATCTGACAGAGTCACGGGTTCTCAGAATAGTAGAGAGCAGTAGGATGGTCCCCCTCTCCCTTCATAAAAGCGAGTGCTGAGGCATTCCCTTGGGGAACCAGGAGGATTCCGATTTCCAGTGGAGGAGCTGTAGGCGGCGGTCTGGAGGGTGTTTCTGGGTACAGTGGCCTTCCTGAGGACCTGAAAACCCCGCCCCACAGGCCTATCAACCTACCCAGGCCCCGGTTCCGGTTTGGGGAAAGTGGACGGGAAAGTTCAGCGCCTCTCTCAGCTCTGCCATGGCTCCTCAAAACCGCAGCATCACAGGCAGCAGTAACAGGCCTGCCTCTGGAGCTCCAGGCCCAGCGGTGCGGAGCTCCCACCTCTGAGACACCGCGGCACCCGTGGGCTCCGCCTTCAGAGCCGAGGCCGGTCAGGCCATCTGGGGTTTCTGCCTAACAAAGGATCCCGGCCTTTACCAGGGAGCCCCTTCCCTCTGTCTAAGTAAAATGGTCTAAGAAGAGTCTGGCATGGTCTGCAGCAGTGGTTGGCAAACTCATTAATCAACAGAGCCAAATATATCCACAGTGCAACAATTGAAATATCTTTTAAGAGCCAATTTTTTAAACTTAAACTTCTTCTAACGCCGCTTCTTCAAAATAGACTTGCCCAGGCCGTGGTATTTTGTGGAAGAGCCACACTCAAGGGGCCCAAGAGCCGCATGAGGCTCTTGAGCCGCAGTTTGCCAACCATGGGTCTGGGGGGAATCATGCTCTCAAGATTGGCCAAGTGTGGCTGGTCTACGCAGCCTGAGAAAGGTCTGGACAGGGACAGCTAACACCGAAAGCTGACATCCAGTCTGGGCCTGACTGTAGCCTCAAGTCTGTCTCTGGGGGCCAAGTCCCTAAGTGGAATTTTAGCACCAAGGGCTCATTTATTTAGTTATTTTAAATATTTTATTGATTTTTCACAGAGAGGAAGGGAGAGGGATAGAGAGCTAGAAACATCCATGAGATACATCCACCAGCTGCCTCCTGCACACCCCCTCTGGGGATGTGTCCACAACCAAGGAACATGCCCTTGACCGGAATTGAACCTGGGACCTTTCAGTCTGCAGACCAATGCTCTATCCACTGAGTCAAACTGGTTTCGGCGCCAAGGGCTCACTTAGGAAGGAAACATTCCCAGCAGCCACACGGCCCAAGCACCCATGGGTGATGAGGCCCTGCGGCCGAGGCCGCCTGGCTCTCCCAGGTGCCGAGGGCTCTCTCCACACACAGAGGCCGCAGGCCGTGCTGAGAGCCGGTGCCACGGGAGGCGCTGCACGGGCACCGAGTCAGGTCCACAGGCTTCCTGATCCTCCGTGCTGCCTTCCTTCCTTAGGACTTCCCATCCTCACAATAACATTTTTCAAAAATACTTTTAAAAATTGTGACAAAATATATCTAACATAAAATTTGTCACCTTAACGAATTTAAAGCGCACAATTCAGTGGCACTTAGTGCATTCACAGTGTTGCACAACCGTCAGTATTCCCAAACCCTTTAATTACCTCAATCAGAAACTCTGTACCCATTATGCAAAGCCATTGGCACAGCCTGGTGACTGCCAGTTCATGTTCCGTCTCTGAATTTGCCTATGCTAGCTATTTCACAGAAGTGGACTTACACAATATTTGTCTTTTTTGTGACTGGCACATTTCACTTAGCATGTTTCAAGGTTCCTTTATATTATAGCACGTATCAGAAGGTCATCCTTTTCATCCCGGAATAATACATACGTACATACATGTAAACATATATCTCACATTCAAAAAATGTTTTTATTGATTTTGGAGAGAGAAAGGGATAGAAACATCAATGATGAGAGAAAATCATTGACTGACTGTTCTGTATGCCAGACCCCTCCCCCCTGGGGATCGAGCTTCAGCCCAGGCTTGCGCCCTGACCAGGAACTGAACTGTGACCTCCTTCCTGAATTGACACTCCACCACTGAGTTGCACTGGCTGGGCTAAAGACATTATTTTTAAAGCTTAGAAAACAGAACAATATGGAGATAACAATTACTCATAATCCCATTATTCCAAATTGACGATTTTTTGGAATGGTATGGCTTAGAGTCTATTTTTATTACTATTTTGCTACTTTGGCATTTTGTGTCTTAGGTATCATAACTTTGAGCCAGTTTCTGCATAAGGCTCGCCCCCCATTCGCTGGCTGTGCAGAGAACACTGAACTGGAGAGCCAGACCCTGGTCTCAGCTCCCCTGGCAACCAGCTCTGTGACCTTCACCCGTCTAGTAAAATAAGACCTTTGGATTCGGTGTTTCCCAGACCCTGCCAGCTCTACCCTGTGATGTCTGTCACCAGTGCACACAGGTGACATGGTTCATGGCACCGCGGGTGGGAGGTTTGGGTTGACAGCTCCAAGAGAGCTGGTGGCTGCCTTCAGATCAGAGGCCTCTTTATCCTAACACGATTCCATCTCTCCCCCCAGAACAGGAAGAGAGGAACCGGGAGGCTATTGAGCAGTGGCGCCAGTGGCATTACGATGGCCTGTACCCACCATATCTCTATAACCGCCACCACATCTGACCTCGTCCTGATGAACCTGGAAGATGGAGCTTGAAATGCACGTACTCACCCAGTGTTCCACCCCAGATGTGGAGCAGCTCTCTCCCACACAAACAGGCCCTTAAACACATAAGGCCTTTCGTTCTGATGGATAAAATGCCCTGGCTTTCGCTTCTTTGCAGATGAATTCTGAGGCGAGCCTATGGGGCCGCCTAGCACCAAACCTACAGTTTCCTCTGCTTAGCCATTATTCCCAAAGCAAGAGTCTCATTCCATAGAACAACGAAAGAATCACAGTAAAGAGAGACGATTACATGTTTGCTTACAGCTTACAAATAAAAATGCTGAGTCAACAATAAATTATCTTCTCTCTTTTTAAATCCTCATGCTGAGAGAGAGAGAGAGAGAGAGAGAGAGAGAGAGAGAGAGAGAGAGAGAAACAGTGGCATGAGAGAGAAACATCGATTGGTTGTCTCCTCTTCACACCCCAACCAAGGATTGGACCTGTGACCCAAGCATGTGCCTGGCCCGGGAATTGAACCAGCAACCCTTCGGTGGACGACACTCAACCAATGGAGCCACGCTGGCCAGGCATGAGTTATCTTCTCAAATCCCATACTGAGGGGTGTGGCCTACCACCCCTGAGTGACAGTGACTCACACTGACTTGGGTGTTTGAAAGCTTGAACTCAGGAGTTCTGTTCACTATTTCCTCAGCATGTTTCAGTAGTCACACGAAAAACAATCGTTTTGGCAAAACCATTCTCGGAGCCCAGGTGCTTCTCTGAAAAGAGTGTTAAGGTAGGTCCAACTGTGGACTTTTTAATTGCACCAATCAGAAGCCAGGGTTACAGCAAGGCCAGTTGTAACCCAAAGTAGAAAACAGAGAAAACTGAGTTTTGGTGTCATCTGCTTTTTCTTCATAATGCCTTTATTAGTTGTTAGAGCTGCCATATCAAAGTACCATAAACTGGGTGGCTTAAAATGATGCACATTTATTCTCTCACATTCCAGAGGCTAGAAATCTGAAGTCAAGGTGTTGACTGGGCCACACTCGCTCCCAAGGCTCTCGAAGAGGGTGCTTCCTAGCCTCCTCCAGCTCCTGGCAACCTGGCTTCCCTGGCTCATGGCAGATCCCTCCATTGTCACAGGGCTTTCTTTTCTCCCCAGGCCTTCGCATCACCTTCTCTCTTTCTGTGTTTCTCCTCGTCTTATCAGTCATCAGTCATATTGAATTAAGAGTCCATCCTACTAACCTCATTTTAAACTGATTATATCTTCAAGGACTCTATTTCCAAATAAGGTCACATTCACCAGTTCCAAAGGTTAGGTCTTCAGCAAATCTTTGGGGGAGGGGGACACAATTCAGTGCTAGCAGTGGCCCCTTCCTTCTCTCCCAACCACTCTGCTTTCCTGCGCCAGACTCAGCATCTCTCCTACTTCTGTCCTCGCTCTCCACCCCCTCCAGGAATTCCACACTAAGAATGCAGAATAATGCACACCGGCGTCTCTGCAGAGCCACGGCCCTCGGGAGGATAAAGAAGACCCTGAGTGAAAAATAAGCATCCACCTTGGACCTCTCCCTGTCCCCACCCCTGGGCCCTCTTCCTCCACGGCCCGCTAGTCCAGCTGCTTTAGAGGCCGAGCTTTCTGCGAACTATAGGGTAACTTTTCTTATTTGAGGAAAAGCTGCTCATTGTGGTGCAATACTCCACCACCAGAGGCAGGGCTATTTATTAGATCAGGATACTTTACAATAAATGCATGTATTTTAAAGTAATTTTTAAAGATTGTTAAAACCTTTAAAAACATTCTGGTAATGAAGCAACTATGCATTTTCCAAATCACCTTCTACAATACATGGTCAGCACTGTAGGTTGGTAACCCCAACTTAGGAGGGGGTATCTGTTGCCCACACCCATTGGGCAATAAAAGGAAGGCAAAGCATTGCTCTCCCCTCCGCCAGGAAACAGGAGCCAGTCTGGTCTGTTGTAGGTAGCGTTGGCACATCCACATGCCCTCTGGCAAGGCCAGCAAGCAGGTGGATGATGGCTAAAGCATTCTCAGTGCGGTCCCCTCAGCCAGTGTCTCAAAAGGCCTGCCCTGGCCACAGGCAGAAACATGGGGGGCGGGGAGGCACACACAGATGTCAAAAACCAAGAATGGTCTGGGTGTGGGGCCCATTTAAAAGAACAAAACAGCCTGTCCTTGCCTCTTTAATGTCCACACTTGGAGTGCTGGCTCTAGATAAACAACTCTGGCACAAATGGGCCTCCTTATTTCTGGCAAAAATAAGAATTCTATTACCTCATTTTACCCCTGTCCTTAACAAGGACCCTATTATACTTCAGGGTTTTCAAATTCCACCCAGAATTCCTTCACTAAAGCCAATCAGTCATTTCCTGGGCAGGGGGAAGCATGCCAAAGGTAACAGGACCTGGAATCCGGGCAGCCACATTTAATAGGAAGTTAATAATGGAGCGATCTGTAATTTTAGAGACTGGCCTTGTCAAAAGTGTGGTCTTTGGGACATTCTACCCCCTAGTTCTTTAGGGGTTTCATGTTAAGTGGCTGAAACAAAGCCTTCAAAGGCTGGACTGGTGAAAACTCATTTTTATTCACAACCTTCTTTTTTTAGTATGTGTACTTCAGGGAAGATACTGCAACTGATTGGATCACGTGCCTTTAGATTTTTGGGGGATGTGGACATTTACATGAACCTGAATTACTTTAAAAATTTTAAAAACTTGTTATATACTTTTTATCAGTTTCATTTGGTTGGGTTATTTAATTTCTAATTCATTTTCAACCAACTATGTTCTAATTCTTCGGTAAGGTTTTCATAATTTGAAAATTCTTAAGGGATTTGTCTCAAAGCAAATTGGTTAATATGGAGGATCTCGTTCACAGAGTAAGTCTGCTACACTCTGTGATCTTTTTTACTGTAAAAAAATATATATTTTATTGATTTTTAAGAGAAAGGGAGAGCAATAGAGAGCTAGAAACATAGATGAGAGAGAAACATCTACCAGCTGCCTCTTGCACACCCCCTACTGGGGATGTGCCTGCAACCAACGTACATGCCCTTGACGGGAATCGAACCCGGGACCTTTCAGTCCACAGACCGACGCTCTACCACTGAGCCAAACCGGCTACACTCTGTGATCTTATGTTCTTAGTCTGCCTCCTGCTCGCCCCCTACTGGGCATCAAGCCTGCAACTCAGGGAATGTGCCCTTGTTGGAATCAAACCTGGGACACTTCAGTCCCAGGGGGACTGACCCTCTATCCACGGGGCCAAACTAGCTAGGACTGTTCTAACACTTTTTAAAGGTTTGTCCACTTTCCACATTTTGATTTTTTTTAATTAAAAATATTTTGAACGTATACAAAGTTTAAAAAATGTAAAGGATGAAAAGGAAGTGTCTCTCCTGTCTCCCAAACCAGTTATCCCAGAGTCTTGAGTATATTCTTCAAGTTGATCTGTGCACATCTAGGTATATAGCTATACTTTTTCCATTTTTATTTTTAAACTTCAAAATTCATTTTTGACAATAATGCCTACTTTACCTATTAAGCAATTTTTTTTACCATTAAAAATATGTATAATTAATTTATATTTAAGTAGTTTACAAAAAGCTTTCTCAGATAAAAAGCTTCCTACAGGAATGGTAATGTTTGAGGGGAAGTGCCTAACAAAAGTATTTATTTAACGTGTAAAACAACAGTGAAAATTATTTAGGGAAGTTCTCACTAATTTTCACACTCTAATAATGCAAATTAAATTACAATTTCAAATTACCATGCACCTACCAGGATATTTAAAATTAAAATACCTGCCGGGACCGGTTTGGCTCAGTGGATAGAGCGTCGGCCTGCGGACTGAAAGGTCCCGGGTTTGATTTCGGGCAAGGGCATGTACCTTGGTTGCGGGCACATCCCCAGTGGGGGGTGTGCAAGAGGCAGCTGATTGATGATTCTCTCTCATCGATGTTTCTAACTCTCTATCCCTCTCTCTTCTACTCTGTGAAAAATCAATAAAATATATTTTTAAAAAATTAAAATTAAAATACCTATAAAATACCAGTGAGAATGTGGAGAAATGGAACTCTCCTACATTACCAGTGGGTATGAAAATGGGACAATTACTTTGGGATATAGTTTACCAGTTTCTTACAAATATAAACATACACTTTGCAGCTAACTCAGAAATCCCACTCCTATTTACAGGAGAAATGAAAAACACAGCCACAGAAAGACCTGACCTTGGCAGCAGCTTTACTCATCATACCTGCCCCACGGTGGAAATAATTCAACCCGAACACATTCATTGGGGCATATCCACAGTGAAACACTCAACAATAAAGAACGATTGCTGATACATTCAAGAACATGGATGTACTTCAAAAATACTATCCTAGTCTGGCTGGTGTGGTGCAGTGGTTGAGCATCGTTATGAACCAGGTCATGGTTCAATTCCTGGTCAGGGCACATGCCCAGGTTGCAGGCTCGACCCCAGTAGGAGGCATGCAGGAGGCAGCTGATCCATGATTCTTTTTCATCATTGTTGTTTCTAACCCTCTCTCTGAAATCAATTAAAAAAATACTCTAAGTGCAAAAAGTCAGCTATAATTTTAATTTATATGAAACTCCAGAAGACAGATCTAAATTATAACAGACCAGTGATGGCCAGGGACATGGAGTGTGGACTGGGAAGTGGCATGAGCCAACCTTTTGGAGTGATGGAAATTTCTATCTTGCTTATGGCAATGGTTACATGGTAAACCTATTTGTCAAAATTTATTGAACTATACATTTAAGATGCATGCCTTTTACTGTATGAAATTCAGACCTTAATAGTTAATTTTAAAAAGTACCAACAGAGAAGTTTTTGCTTGAGCAACATTACTATAAACTTGGTTCCAATCTTAGTTTCAACCCATAATTTTCAAATTACTTAACCAATTTCCTAATCTGCAAAATGGGGACACTCCTATCTTACCTAATTGCTGCATTTATTTGTAACTCCAGAATCAGTACTTATGGTGCTTCTGTGGTCACTGATGGACACATGCGTGTGTAGAGCAATAAGAATTTTGACTTGCCTAGCACATGATCCCGGCTGAGGTCAAATAAAGCATCATTCCTGTTCAGCTACCTTAAACAAGTATCCTTTTTGTGATGTTCCTCACATTTCTGTGCTTTTGCTGTTTCAAATGGCCCCCAAGCATAGTGCTGAAAAGTGCTATCTAGTGTACCGCAGCTTTTTCAAACTGCTGTCAACTTGAATGAACTGATTTCTTCCTTTTTTGTGTATTATGTGCTTCAGGTGTCTTGTCTTCTTTCCTCAATAATGGCAAAT